ACGAATCCTCTGGAAATACTACACTAGCAGAAGGGATAATCCACCTCTATCGTACCAGTCCTAATTCCGGCAATGTGGAGCAATATGTGGAGGATGGAACCATGCTCGCTATCCTTGCAATCCCTTCGTGGATGAATGTCTCTGACTTTTTAACCTTTGTATCTCCGGCATATGAAGGTTTTGTGCACCTTAGAATAGTCAGGCATGTCCGTTTCATGTCTGAGAAACGATGACTAAATACTTCCAATAGAGACGCGCTACCCAATCGCGCCCTAGCTCTTATCAAATTTCGTTCTGCACAAGATGCTTCAGACTTTAGAGAGGAGTTCAATGGCAAATACTTCAACTCGATGGAGGTGAGGAGTGTTTCTTTCATAAGGCCAGTTTCTTAGGCCTTCTTTACAGCCAGAAACGTGTCATGTCGTCAAAATAAATTCAGTAATGATAGAAACACCTGATCTTGTCACAGGATCATTCCCACCCCCTCCGGACGGTTCCGTCGAGCTGCCTACCTGCCCTGTTTGCTTGGAACGCATGGACACTGCAATAACAGGGCTAGTAACCGTACCTTGTTCGCATACGTTTCACTGCCAATGCCTCAGCAAATGGGAAAATTCTCGATGCCCTGTCTGTCGTTATTCACAAAAAGCACTCTTCTCAGGGTCACAACTACCGCCCTCCAGGGGACGATCGCAGTCGAGCGCAAACGTTGGCAGTATGACTACTTGTAGAGACTGCTCTACTACGACCAATCTATGGATATGCCTCATTTGTGGTAATGTCGGATGCGGAAGATATGGTAGAGCGCATGCACATGCACACTACCAGTTGACAACCCATTTATACGCCCTAGAACTAGAAACACAGCGGGTATGGGACTATGCGGGTGACGCATACGTGCACCGTCTCATACAAAATCGTGCAGATGGCAAGCTGGTAGAGCTACCATCCGCTTCCATCACCACTGGGAGTGTGACCGATAATTCAAGGGCACTGGGACCTGGTCCTTCAGATACAATGGCCGCAGAGAAAATTGAGGCTATTGGGATAGAATATTCATATCTATTGACGTCTCAACTGGATTCACAAAGAACATTCTATGAGGAACAGCTCGAGACGATGAAGGAGCAACTTTCCAGTGCGTTCACTAAATTGGACCTTCAATCCAAGGAAATGGAAGTGATGACGGCTCAGTGGCAAATGAAGGAACAAAAATGGAGGGAAGAAGTAGAAACCCGACAGGACGAAGCAGTAAAAGAAAGGGTCAAGCTGGAAAAGAAGGTAGAAAAGGCTATGGACCTGGCCCGGAAGTTTGAAAAGGAGTTACGGGAGGAGAGGATGGTCAACGACGGCTTGCTTCAGAATTTGAGCGCAGTCAAAAAAAGGAGTGAAGCATTTGAGGAGGAAAAGGCGCAGTTCATGGGAAGGATAGGGGAGCTTGAGGATCAGATGCGAGATATCATGGCCCATCTCGAGCACAGAGAGAGAGTGGACAAGGAAGGAGGAGAGCTCGCTGGTGGCAGTATCGAAGTCAAGACACCCCCACCCTCGTCGTCGTCTTCGCGAAAGAAGAAAAAGAAGTGAGCTGTCGGGATCATTTACAAGCGACACATTGCCGGAATTAGGACTGGTACGATAGAGGTGGATTATCCCTTCTGCTAGTGTAGTATTTCCAGAGGATTCGT